CGTCCTTCGTCGGCTTCCCGCCACCGCGGTGACTGCCACCAGACTGCCCGCGCTGTCCCGGGCGACCACCTCGCTTCGCGGGGGCTGCGAAATTTACTTGCGCGAGGAGCTCCTGGGACCGCTCAGCCTCCTGAATTGCCTCGTCCTGCAGGATGTACGAGGTCAATGTGTCCTCGTTGAGCGTCGCTCGCGTGCTCGGCGCCATCGACAGCTGCTTCAGCAGGTTGTAGCTGCTCGGGAGTCCTTGCATGACATGCGTGACGTACGAAGCCGTCAAGTATTGCGCGCCAGCCATCCGTATGGTGGCAAGAATTCGCCGAGCTCGGTTTCAGTAGTCAGTCGCGGTCTCCTCGTCGCCCATACGCAGGTTCGTCAACTGCCCCTCAAGCTGGGCGATGAACAAGTCGTCGGTGACCTGGTAAGTTGACTCGATGAAATGCCACGCCCGGTGGCCAGCGTCGAGGTACTCCCTGCACGACTTCAGGGCGATCTGTAGGCCCGGCGAGCAGCACCGCAAAATGACCGTAAAGGTCAGCAGCTACACGGCGCGAAATTCCGCTCGCATGTCGGGGTAGTGCTCCTTCGGCGTCGCCACGGTTCCGTGGGCGAATCCCATCAGCCCGGCCATCTCCAGCTGGGGCTCGATGGCTTCCTTCCACGTGAGGATGTCGGGACGACCGACCAGCAGAGGGGTGACCGAGATCCCGTCCGGCGTAAACTTGAAGTAGCCGTAGCTCGGCGCAATTCCTCCCGCGGTCACGTGTGTCGCCGACATTGGCGCCAATTCACTTTGTCTGCCTCCGACGTAATTTCGCGGGGCCCCTGCAGCCGCGGAGGACTACATCCCTCGCGCCTGAACGTCGCCGACTTCATCGGCGTGAATCACACCTCGCTGCCTCAATGTGCCTCCCGCGCTGCTGCCGACTTGGCCACCACCCGTGTTGACGTCCGCGTCGACGCCGCCCGCGTTGTTCACTGGTCGAGGAGACGCAGGCCGAGAGAGAGGGTGCTCCGTCGCCCACAACGAGCTGATGCCAGCCTCGACGACCGTCCAGGGGATGTCGCCATACTGGTTGGCCTCGTGCTTTCTCCTCGCGTTCTCCAGCCGTGCCTCCAGGGTGTCCACTACCCCTCCGTCACCTACGACTCCTACCATAGTGACTACCGCACAGCTGCCGGTCTACGAACAAGCTAGGTGAGTGAGAAGTCAGCTAAACCGAAGGTTTCGTCGCGGTGTCGTCCACGCTCACCGCACCATGCGGAGATAACTAGTGCAACGGGAGCTAGACTACGGGCTAGGCACGGGGCAAGAGTGATTGTAGCGTTCGTTTGTTCCTTAGTCGTTTCCAAGTGCTAACACTGCTTGCTAGTTCACTGGGAAAATTGGCAAGAGTTTCACTAGGAAAACCTGACAATAAAAGTTTAGAATGATTGCATCAACATTGGCAACACAAAATACATCAGACCTAGCAAGGCTGCTGGTCAACTGCCAGTGCAGCACGGTCGGCCGCGTGCCAGCACGACTTGGTCGACCGCGCTCCAGCAGAGCAGAGTCGCGGCTTGCCAACGTTGCCAGTCCGCGGTGTACCAACGCTGCAGCAAGTCGGCTGCACAACGTTGCATCCGCGGGACAACGGTGCCCCAGCTTCGCATGTGTGTGCAGCTGGTTGGCGCCCAACTCCCCATCACTTGCCCAGCGCAGACACTTCACCCATGACGGCGCCCACCAGCCACGTCGACCTCGGGATACCACCCCCGAGGTCGTCCTCGCAGACAACATCCCCAGCGACTTTCGCGCACGTCGCCCGGGTATCCTGGTTGACCGGGTATTTCGCGGTCCTCCCACGGTTTCTCGGCCACCGTGGTCCTCCGCGGCTTCGTGGATCCACGGTCCCCCGTGATTTCGTGGCTCCCACGGTCCACCGCGATTTTGTGGCTCCCACGGTCCACCGCGATTTCGTGGCTCCACGGTCCCCCGCGATTTCGTGGATCCCACGGTCAGCTCCGCCAAGCGAGGACGGGGTCAAAGACAACTCCCATTGACAGGGACCGCTACGGGCAGCGGGGTGGGGCCGCGAAGGGGCCGCGAAGGGGCCGCGAAGGATCCGCTAAGGGGCCGTGAAGGGGCCGCGAAGGGGCCGCTAAGGGGCCGCGAAGGGAGGCCACGTAGGGGCCGCGAAGGGGCCGCTAAGGGGCCGTGAAGGGGCCGCGAAGGGGCCGCTAAGGGGCTGCGAAGGGAGGCTGCTAAGGGGCCTCGAAGGGGGCCGCTAAGGGGCCGTGAAGGGGCCGCGAAGGGGCCGCAAGGGGGGGGGGCGCGACGGGCCTCAGGAGCAGGGCAGGCCGTTAAGGGGCCGCGAAAGAGTAGGGCAGGTCAGAGCGCGAAGCGCGCTTTGGGCAGGTTAGGAAAAAAAATTCTAATGGTGGACCCTTAGGAAGAAACGGTCCCACTAGGGAACCCGCTCTATACCAGGTGAGAATCACGAGGAATGGAATGACTAGGCAAGATGTGGGTACAAGTAGGAAACCTAGAAATGTTGGACCCTATAGTGTCTACCCCACTACAGCCTAGATAGAGCATAGCATATAAGTTTGACACAAAAATCCCGTGAATCGGACAACGCCCGTCCCACCGCCAACCACGTGCGCTGCACCAACTTGAAGCACATACCAATTGACTGGAAACCCGAAAGAATACCCACCGCGAAACTCTGATATCCGCGAACTCGCCTGGTGATATTCACCAGCGAAGCAAAGTGTATTTCCTCTCGCGTGTGCGTTCTGGGACAATCACGATGTAACGTTCTGCACCGTACTGTAACGTTCTTAGAATTTTTATATTGTTTACAACCTATCCGCGTCTCCGGACTTTTTGATATGTTTTTTTCTTTACCGCGAAAAATACCAGCTATTTGCATGACATCATCGATGTTCGTGTCAGCACAATTCGAACAGTGCAGGCGTTTTGCGGAAGAACACGTTTTTCGCTCCACCCTGAGAATAGTCACGCGCGAAAACCCCCTCTGTTGGAGGTATAGAAAGCAAGAAATTGAGCTACAAAAACAAGAAATCCGCGAACTCTCCTGGTGAAATCCACCAGCAAAGTTTTCGCGTGTGCACGATTGTTGGGCCAAATATGAGTGCGCGAAGTTCACATTTCGAGCCGTCCTCCTAACGCACTTTGCGCGTGGAGGTTTAACTATGACTCCTGTTTATGCAAAACTATTTTCTGTGGCGGAATGTAGGCGTGTTCGCACTGATCGCACAAAGGTAAATCTTAAAATTACAGAGCAAATTAGGGTAAATCGGGGCTCGTTTCACGCTGGGCAGCTACCAAATCCACGAAGTCAAGTACGACATTTCCGCAGTTCCGCGTGTCCACAAGTTTTGGTGGCAAACACGAGTGGGAAAAGTCCAGAAAGTTAGCGCGAAAAATCCACACGAGTGTGAGTCAGCACAGTGGATACAGTCGTTCAGCTGAAGCAAAACATTTTGCCCCGTCGAGTGAAAGCCCGCCGTGCAGGGTCAATTCAGGGTAATTTGTGGCTCGTAGAAGGCGTGGTACCGTGGTTGACAAGCGGGGCGGAAAGAGAACTTCGTGAACACAATTCGTTCGCGCTTACACCCTGTGAAATCAGTGCGTAGTGGAATTTTGAGAGAGGGGGGCGATTTTCATGAGATGCTAACTCACTTTTCGTTATGATTTTAGAACATTCGTTTTCATCTTTATCTGTAACGGGGACCTCACACGGCTGATCACTGGTGTTTCGAGGCGAACGAGGCAGTGGTCCCCACTGCTGAGTCAGCGTGCTTCCCAGGAGCAGTTGAGGCCTCGTGTTCCTGGCAGGGGCCGAAGGGTCGGCCCTCCAAAATCACGCTAAGGGGTTGGCCGCGTGCCCCAGTGCTAGCCTGGGCCGCCTTCGCGTGCCGAGGGTCCGACGCCGAAGGCATCGAGGTTCTTCGGACCCCCAACTTTGGAAGAAGGGGCCCAGCTTCGGCCCGATTAGAGTGGCAGGGAATCGTAGCAAGAGACAAAAATGGACACCGTCACAAGCTCTCCATACATTGTTTATTCCGTCCATATTATCGCAGCTTCGTTTTTCGTCACCGTACATGAGCTCATAAATACTGTATTTGTTATTATAAGCGCAGGTGCACTAATAGTTGGGGGGGGGGGGGGGGGGGGGGGACAAGGTAGATCGATATTTACACTAAACGAAGTTCTATATTCAATGCATACACTCAAATTTATGAGTACACCAGAGCACTGACTTCTTAGTGTACGGTATTACAATTCATCTGAGTTGTCAACGTGTCTCGTGCAACGAATATATATTTGAGATTAAAATTATTGGAAAACGAAGACTACACTAGCCACTTGTTCAGCCAGACCCATGAAATATAGAACAAGAATTGAATCACAACAAATTGTATGCCACGGCTCTGCTCTCAATCATTTTTTGCTCTTCACGTCTTCAATGTTTACTCTCTTCAACTGTAATTTCATGATTCTTCACCTGTAATCTACTGCGACTCATAGCCAATCAAGCGCATCCCAAACGCTCGTGATGCTCCGGCTCCCTTGTACTACTCCCTCTCTCATCCGTAGTTCTTCGATCTGTAAGCCGCCACAAGCCTATCAAGTTCATCCACCAACTCCCGGTGCTCCGACCCCTTCTTGCTCTGCCCCTTGCTCTGCCCCTTCCCTCCCTCTTACTCACTCTCTCTTACCCATAGTTCTTTGCTCTGTAAGCCGCCACGAGCCTATCAAGTTCATCCACCAGCTCCTGATGCTCCGACACCTTCTTGCTCCTCACCTTGCCCCTCTCCCCTCCTCCACTTCCTCCCAACCCAGCTAATGCTGCCTGTGCTCGCCTAGCCTCCATGACTGCAGCCGCTGCTTCTCCTCTCCGTGTGTCTATCTTCGCCCTTTTAAAACCGAGACTTACTACAGAAGATGGAGAGGCAGCAACAGCTTTCAACGCAATCGCTGCTTTTCCCCTCTATGGGTCTGTCTTTGGATTTTTAGCACCAAGAGTCACGGCAGCTGCAGCAGCCTTCATAGCAGCCGCAGGAGAGGCAGCAACAGGTTTCACTGCAGCAGCAGGGGACACACCAGCACTCCCTGCTGCACCCTTCTGCTTCCTCTTTAACTCGGCCTTCCCACTGCCTCTCACCCCTCCCCATTCTACTCCACCCGGTGCCTTCACACCAACACTCTGCTGCTCTGCTGCAGCGCCTGCTTGCACCTCTGCACCCGCATGCCCCTTCACGTCCTTCCCAGGTCCTTTCCCGTGCCTCTCTTGCTGCTCCCCCTGCCGCTTTTCTTGCTGACCTTGCCCCTTCCCTCCATTCACCTGCTTCTGCTTCTTCTTTGCTGGAGAGCCCTCAGCATCACCAACAGCAAGTGCCTCGCCCTCCTCAGGCTTTCTCTTTGCACCCCTTGCTTTCCCCAAACCAGTGGCCCCAGCTTCATTCTGCTTCTGCTGCTGCCGCACTACCTGTCGCCTGTCGCTCTGCTGCCTCACCGTGTGCTGCTGCTGCTTCACTATCGAGACATTCTCAATTGCAAACTCCACAATGGGGCGAGCGTCACGAGAGAAGATGGCTGAAAGAATGTAAGGGTGGGCACGGATGAAGGAGGGGAACGGAAGTGAGGGAGGGAAACGGATGAAGGGGTGGGGGAATGGACGTGTGTTGCCTCTGCTTCACTATCGAGACATTCTCGATAGCAAACTCCACTATGGGGCGAGCATCACGGGAAAAGATGGCTGCAGGTGTCATGAGAATAGGGGATGAAGACAGATGTAAGGGAGAGGCATGGGTGCAACAGAGAGGTATCAGAATGTGCTTCACTATGGAGATGATACGGATTGCAAACTCCACTGTGGGGCGAGCGTCAAGGGAGGGGACCGTGGGGGGGCATGGGGAGTGAATGGAGGTGCATAGAAGATGGGGATAGCAAGGCTGCATCAGTAAAGCACCGCACTGCACAGTACTTCACTGCACCGCACCGCACTGCACAGTACTTCACTGCACCACACCGCACTGCACTCACTGGGGTGGTTGTTGAGCGCCCTCAACGCCACTACAGCGTGCTGATGCTCACTGAACTCAATGAATGCTGCTCCCTTTGCCTCTGTCTCATGAACATCGCAGCACCGCACTGCACAGTACTTCGCCGCACTGCACTCACTGGGGTGGTTGTTGAGCGCCCTCAACGCCGCTACAGCGTGTTGGTGCTCACTGAACTCAATGAACGCCGCTCCCTTGGACTGCGGCTTGCCATCTGGCCCAACCCGGTCTGCTTCCCTCAGCACCTTCACCTGCAGGGAGGAAGAGGGTGAAAGCGACGGGCAAAAAAGCATTAGGAATAACTCATGGCATCTCATGACCATCTCATGACCATCTTCTCCTCATTCGTTCTGTCAATAGCGCATGTAAGGTAATCAACGCATACTCATTTATTGATGATCTTGTCCATGGTCTACACACACACACACACACACACACACACATACACACGTGCACGCACGCACGCACACGCACACGCACGCACACACAACAACAACAACTACAACAACAACAACTACTACTACTACTACTACTACTACTACTACTACTACTACTACTACTACTACTACTACTACTACTACTACTACTACTACTACTACTACTACTACTACTACTACTACTACTACTACTAGACTGGGAAGAGAGGAATGGGAGGAAGAAGGAAGTGTCAGATTTATATGACATAGCTACTGTAGGCTATAGTGGGGTAACACATATGGGGTACAGCTTTCTAGGGTTTGTACTTGTACCCAACTTTCCCTTAGTCAAAACATTCTCGTTCATTTTCTCATGGTATCGAGCTGGTTCCCCCGTGGGAACTGTTCCGAGGGCCCACCACCTTTTTTTTTCCTGCCCGGAGCGCACTCTACACTACCCGAGTCGCGCTCCCCTCTCACGGCCCCGTCGCGCCGCCCTTTCGACCCTGTCGAGCTGCCTTAGCGGCCCCGTCACGTCGCGCTTGCGACCCCGTCGCGTCGCCCTAGCGGCCCCTCCACGTCGTGCCGCCCTAGCGGCCGCGTCGCGCCGCCATCGCGGCCCCGATCCGCTACCCTCGCGGCTTCGTCGCGTCGCGCCGCCCTCGCGGCCCCTTCGTGCTGCCCTCGCGGCCTCTTCAAGCCACCGTCGCGACCCCCCCCCCCCCCCCTCCTAGCCGCCTCTACTGGCCCCGATGCCGCTCCACCCGGCCCCGACACTGCTCCACCCGGCCCCGACGCCGCTCCACCCGGCCCCGCCGCCGCTCCACCCGGCCCCGCCGCCGTCCCCACGCGGCCTCGCCGTCACCACCGAGCCGCCGGCGCCGCCGAGCTCCTGCCGAGCCGCCCGATCCACCCGAGCCGCCCGAGCCGCCGCGCCACCTGAGCCGCCCGAGCCGCCGGGTCGCCGAGCCGCCGGCCTGCAGTTGCTGCCGAGCCGCCGTACCGCCAAGCCGCCCGAGCCGCCCGAGCCGCCCGAGCCGCCGAGTCGCCGAGCCGCAGTTGCTGCGGAGCCGCCGTACCGCCGAGCCGCCCGAGCCGCCGAGTTGCCGAGCCGCCGAGCCGCCGAGTTGCCGAGCCGCCGAGCCGCCGAGCCGCCGAGCCGCCCGAGCAGCCCTGTCCGGTAAGAGCAGCGCCTCTGTCACTGCACTGCCCTTACCCTACTGTTCGCACTACTAGTCTACTGCTGTCATGGCTACCCCTAGTGTCCTCACTTTTGACGCTGAGGGTCGGGCCATTGACTTTGACGTCTGGGTAAATGACCTGCAGCTTTTCTTATAGTGCGATAGGGCAGACGGTCTCTCCCTCTTTGACCTCACCTCTGGTGCCTCTCCAGCCCCTGCTGCTGATGCCGACGCCACTGTTCGCTCACAGTGGGCCACACGCGATGCTGCTGCACGTCTTGCTATGCGTCGCCACCTGCCTACCTCTTAGCGTGCGCACTTTAGTCAGTACAAGAGTGCTCAGACCTTGTACGACGCTGTAGTTGCACGCTACTCCTCCCCTGCCACTGCTGCACTGAGCCGCCTCATGCTACTGTACCTCTTCCCTGACCTTGCTGCCTTTCCCACAGTCGCTGACCTCATTACGCACCTCCGCACTAGTGACACTCGCTACCGCGCTGCGCTTCCTGCTGAGTTATGCGCCAAGAAAACCCCCCCCCCATGTACATAGTCACTTGGCTCACTGACTCCCTTTGCGTAGTCCGGGACCACTTCCTCTCAGTTTGCCCCACCACTCTCACCGTTGACCTCCTCGAGAAGGCCCTCCTAGCAGCAGAGAAGAGCATAGTAGATGTAGGAGCCTGTCGTGGTGACCCTCGCACCCCCATCTTTGAGGGGTGTTCCCCCTCCCCCCTTTTGCCCTCTGTTGCCTCTGCTGCTGCGGCCGACCTCGTTGGTCTTGAGTCGGTCGGTGCGGCGTCTACCCCTAGCGGGAGACGCCACCCTGGCAAGGGCAAGGGGGGCAGGGGCGCTGGAGGAGCTAGCGGGGGCGGTGGAGGCGGCGGTGGAGGCGGCGGAGGGGGTGGGGGTGGCGGTGGGGGTGGTGGCGGGGGTGGAGGTGTCGGTGGCGGCAGTGCAGGTGGAGGCGGCGGCGGCGGTGGCGGTGGGAGCGGAGGTGGCGGAGGTGGCGGCGGTGGAGGAGGCGATGGCGGAGGAGGTGGAGCTGGTCGGGGTGGCGCTGCGCAGAGGGTCGGCTCCGGTGGTGGTCAGCGCCAGCAGCAGTAGCAGCAGCGCACTCGTGACATCCCCCCCCCTCAGCAGCTCCGTGAGTGGTACACTGCACGCCAGCGGGGTGGGGGTACTGGTCCGTGCACCTACGTCCTACGCACCGGCGACTGCACGGGTGAGCAGTGCGGGGGTGCGCACTCCACCCAGCGCTGCTTTGGCCGCCTGACGGACGCTTGGCGTCACCAGTTCCAGGAGGCCACTGAGACACCCCGCTGGGGCCAGCTGTCTAGGGCGGGAGTAGCTGTCTTTGACCTTGACTTTGATGCTATTCTTGCTGCAATGTATGATGTGAGTATTAGTGATGAGGGTGACTGTTACCAGTGTTTTCCGCCCGACCCGGGCATGGAGACTGCTGCTCTAGGTACTGGTGAGGCTGTTGCTCTAGGTGCTAGCGAGGCTGCTGCTCTAGGTGCTCGTGCGTCTGCTCCCTCAGGTGCTGGTGAGTCTGCTCTCTCAGGTACTGCGTCGGCTTTCGGCCTCCCACACCTTCACCCTTGACTCGGGGGCTTCTCGCTTCTTCTTTCGAGACCGCACCACACTCACGCCGCTTGGCCGGCCAGTTGCAGTCTCTCTGGCAGACCCCTCTGGGGGTCCTGTCCTTGCTCACTTCTCCACTGTCCTCTCGTGTCTAGCGGCCCCCTCTGGCACCCTGTCTGGTCTTTACCTCCCCTCGTTCTCTACGAACTTGGTGAGTGGTGCTGACCTACAGGATGCGGGAGTTCACCAGTTCACTCCTGCGAGTCAGCGGGTGACCCACTGCACGGACGCTCGGACAGGCTGACACCTGGCCACGTTTACACGTCGGCCGGAGTGGAGCCTATACACACTGACCACTGCATCTCCTCCAGTCACTCCGTCTGGTCAGGTAGCTGCGTCGGGTCAGGTGTTTGCTGCAGCATCCAGGTCTGGTCCTGAGTCTGCCCCCTGCTCGTGTTGCCTCCTGTCTCACGAGACTCTCCTCTGGCACCACCGCCTTGGTCACCCCTCCCTGCTTCGTCTCCAAGGCATGGCCTCCCGTGTCCTTGTCTCTGGTCTCCCCCGGTCCCTCCCTCCCCTTCCTCCGGGGCCTGGCCCTACCTGCGTCCTCTGTGTCGAGGGGCTGCAGCGGGCTGCCCCTCACTCCTTCAGTTTCCTCCGACAGAGGCCCCGCTGCAGACGCTTCACATGGACGTGTGGGGCCCGGCCCGCGTTCGTGGACAGGGTCACAGAGCGCTACTTCCTGCTGGTGGTTGACGACTACTCGCGTTACACCACAGTCTTCCCCTTGCGCAGCAAGGGTGATGTCACTGAGGTGTTGATCCACTGGATCCGCGCAACTACTCTCCAGCTCAGGCAGAGCTTCGGCTCGGACTTTCCTGTTCTGCGTCTGCACTCTGACAGAGGCGGAGAGTTCTCCTCTGGCCTTCTGCAAGCCTACTGTCGTGCACGAGGCATCCGCCAGACCTTCACGCTTCCGGACTCTCCACAGCAAAATGGGATTGCTGAGCGCCGCATTGGCATGGTCATGGATGTCGCCCGTATATCCATGATGCATGCGGCTGCCCCCCATTTTCTGTGGCCGTTTGCGGTTCGGTACGCGGCGCATCAGATCAACCTTCACCCCAGGGTCTCCATGCCGGAGACCTCCCAAGCTTTGCTGTGGACGGAGAAGGTTGGCGATGCGTCTGCGTTTCGTGTCTGGGGATCTCGGGCGTTTGTCCGCGACTTGTCTGCAGACAAGCTGTCCCCTCGTGCTGCTCCTTGCGTCTTCCTTGGCTCCCCCCCTGATGCGCCAGGGTGGCAGTTCTACCACCCCACCTCTTACCGTGTTCTGTCCTCCCAGGACGTCACGTTTGACGAGTCGGTCCCCTACTACCGCCTCTTCTCCTACCGCACTCCGTCCCTCCCCCCGCCACCGCTCTTCCTTGTGCCAGGTCCCCCCCCGGTAGACCCCCTCCCCCCTCAGGGTCCTGCCCCTTCAGGTGTGTCCCAGGTAGACGCAGTCGAGCCTGTTGAGGTTACTGGTGACTCTAGTGCTGCTGAGGGTGCTGAGCCTGGGGGTGCTGACTCTGGGGGTGCTGAGCGTGTGGGTGCTACGCCTAGGGGTGCTGAGCCTGAGGGTGCTACTACAAGGGGTGCTAAGCCTGGGGGTGCTACCACTTGGGGTGCTGAGCCTGGGGGTGCTAAGCCTGGGGGTGTTACAACTGGGGGTGCTGAGCCTGGGGGTGCGGAGCCTGGAGGTGCTGAGCCTGGGGGTGTGGAGCCTGAGGGAGCTGGGCCTGCTCGTGTGGCGTCCGGCGGTGCTGGGCCTGGAGGTTCTCCGGGTGCTTCGTCTTGGCGGGAGCCACTCTCTCCACAGGAGCTGCGCGAGTGGTTTGCCCGGCGCTGGAGGCGTGCTGCTGGAGTTGGCGGTTCTTCGGCTGCTGAGGGTGCTGGTGCCGCGGGTCCCGGAGGTGCTCGTACTGGGAGTACTAAAGCTGCTGGGCCTGCGGGTACGACTGGAGCTGGAGCTGCTGAGGGTGTTGGCACTGGGGCTACTGCTGTCGGTCTTGGAGGCGGTCCTGCTGGGGGTGCTACAGGTGCTGCTGGAGGTACTGGAGCTGGAGGTGCTGCTGGCGCTGGTGCTGCCGCTGGGGGTAC